CCCCAAAACCCCAAAACCCCAAAACCCCAAAACCCCTCTTCCTCCAAAAATATTGAAAATCCCAAATCCCACTTCAAATTTCCTTCCATCTTAAAAATTAAATTTAACTCTATGAAAGACCTGAACTCCTATTTCTCCAAATGTGCAGATTTATGGATTATTAACAGTGGTTATTATGCCAAGTGAGGATTCCTTCTTTTTAAGCGTAGGATATTGGAAAATTTGAGTTTAAGCCGATTTTTCATCATTTTGTTGAACTTTGAGAAGTGGTTTTTAGCGTTTGGGAGTCATTGGAGGCTGTTTATCTTGGTTAGAGCCTTATTGGAACTTCTTTTTGGTGACCTCTTCTAGGGATTATGTTATAAATGGTATATAAATAGGTAAAAAATGTGGTATAAGTCTAGGTTGGCGGACATATAGGCCCTATTCACTACGAAATGAATCATAAAGGGTGTAATCTTACATTTTGAACACATCTGTGGCCATTGTTATTACATCCTCGACACTTGATGCTTCTTAGCTCAGTTCAGGGGCATCAGAGAGCAGCATTTTCTTTTAATGTACTTGCGTATCTTGCTCTTTTTACTGGAAATGATGACTTTCTATATGACATAAGTTGTAAGCTTACCATTTTCTTATATTTCATATCTTAAATTCTTATTCCCTAAAAGATTACCACTTAGGCTGACTCTCAGGAATTTTGAAGGTTGAGGTATTGATAATAGACTTCTGAGCTGTCCCAATCGTCATGATACTCTTAAGAGCCATGTTAGTGAAGACAGCGTCATCTCTTCTGGCATCTAAGCTCGAGCGTTAGCTGGTCTCTCGACACAAAAATATTAGAAATATTTACTATTCTTATCAATATTGGGAAGTAATTTAGAAGAATATTTTATCGCTTTCTGGATCAATTCTGAAAGAAGTTCTTACCATATCCTGACGAGATTGGCTTACGATGTTGTCTGAAGTTACCAAGAGTCCATGGATGCTTTCTGTGGTCTATATACTTTATGACAACTTTAGAAATTTTGTATTCTTTTAATAAGTTTTGATAAACTTATGTTGCACTCTTGGGGATATTAAAACTCATTATTTTATCTTATACCCTCCTAGCAGTAATTTTTTATTAAAAACATTGTCTCCTCATCAGGCTTCTTTGTTATGCATAAAATTTAGCATACCTGATTGCTCTTTGAGACTACTTGTAATTCTCCCATTCACACATTCAGGCAACCCAAATCTTTCCTCTAATACGGATTGTGTATATTTTCTTCTGTGATTATTTCCTAAAAATTATTAACCATCAAAGGAAAATAGGTAGAAATCAAGAAATTTATGTCATATAAACTCAACTAGCTTAGATCATTCTCTATTGCTGCACATAATCAATTCTCCTATCTTTTTACTAGTAAAGGATGGAGTATCTCCTTCACATACTAAGTTTTGGAGTTCTCTATTTCAAGAGAAAGCAGGCAGAAATCATCTCTAAAAATACTCAATTCCACAAAATAAGGTTCTAAGAACTACTATAGTTCATCTTAAAATCTACATAATCTTCATCGATTTAGGCTATTAGGAGTGAGGATAAGTAAGGAGAGACTGACTTCTAGAGCAATTATGGGTAGTGTTTCCTGTATGTCTCTCTTAGTTCAAAACGCTCGGATCGAGCTCAAGGGCTTTTATTAAGACTTAAGCCAACTCATTGGAGAAAAAGAAAGCAAATACAGCATCAAAGGTTGGAGGTTAGTATGGTAAATAATAATTTCTTGAAAATTAAAATCTTTTAAGGAGATTAAGTCTGAAATCAAAGTAGGATTTCCATATAATTTGGTCTAACTAGCATACTTAATTATTCCTGGAGGATCAATGATTCTTGCCTCTAACTTATTGCTTCTTTCTCAAAATTACAGTCTCAAATTAACAAACTATGCAGAAAAATATTTCTATGACTTATGAGACAGATGAATTAGCATTTGAGTGAAGAGCATATTAAGCTTCTCAATTCAATCATTTTTTTAATCAAAATTGTAGGTTCAAGCAATCTTAGTTACTTCAAAGAAAATTCTTTCACGAATTTGTTCTTTCATATAGGCTTTGATGACTGAGTTGTTGAAGATTTTGTGTGTGTTGAGCAGTTAGATTGGTTGGCTAGAAGGAAGATTAGAAGAGAGTAAAAGATTGGATAAGCAGGAGATAAGGTAAATATAGCTCATAGCTTCTTCTAGACTGAATTTTTTTTCAAAAAATCATCTTAAAATCCCAAAACACCTCAAACAGTTCTTCCTCCTATACCCCTACTCTCGCCTAAATCCCGATCTCCTAAACCTTTGCCTTTCCCTCCCAAAATCTCCATCCTTCTTCCTCCACCTTCTAAACCCTCTTTACTCTCTTGCAACTCCTGCTTACTGACTAAACTAGCCTTGCTAACAACTTTCTTCTTCTTAGGGATGGTGATTCGTTTCATTTTTGTTATAGTTTATAGTGCAGGAGTTGTGGAAGGGGTTTTGGGGTTTTGGGGTTTTGGGGTTTTGGGGTTTTGGGG